GATATGAAATGTTCAAGATTAAACGTTTTGAAACTTTTGACGACTCAAGGTCAAAGGCATAGTCAAAGGTCAAGCCCCACAATTTTCGTGGGTAAAGCTGTGATTGGCTAATTTTGAGGAAATGAATTCTTGGCCAAAGTAAGCATACCTTACGTGAGGGCTCAGCCCGCTAAGTAGGTATGCGCAGGAGACTACCTAGCTCCTAGAGGTGTTCAAATCCGATCCGAAACCGATCCGATCGGATTCGTTCGGATTTCGGAACCAAAATATTCATATCGGATTGATAAAATTGTTTTTTTTTGTTTTTTTTTTAAATTTTCGCCCAAAATATAACATTTAACAACATACATTATTTACAAATTTTTTAGGGCTAGGAACCTACTAGAAACCAAAAGGCTTTTTTTTAAGGTCCCTAGATACAAATTCAAATTAAATAACTATAACATATATAAGGTGCCAGTTCGAGTGTTTTTCATTGTAGTAAGGATAGGAAAAAAAAAGGAGAATAGTAACAAGTACTAAGATATAATGATAAGCTATGTTTAAAATTTTACAATAGAAATGGAGAAAAGTAAGTATGTTAACAAAGAATAATATAGTATATATAAATATAGTTAATTTACAGCTAGTGAAAAGGATGTAGGATGTTTCGTAGTCAGATCGGATCGGACTTCGATATTCGAAATAAAATGAATTAATTATCCACGCATTATCGCAAGAATTAATTCTCCATGCATTTATCAAAGCATTATCGCGGTTGTCGCTGCATTATTTGTTTGATACTTCAATCAAACGTCACTTTGTCAGCTTCTTAACATGTATTTCTTGCTTCTATATTTATTTAGCTAAATATTTCAACTTGAATGAGAAATTTATTTTATTAAAGAATTCTTCGGATTTTAAACATTAGGCAATAATTGTCGGATTATAAACGTCCAATCCGATCCGGCCGATGCACACCTCTACAGTAGCTCCTATATACATTCCTCCACTAACAACTGGTTCATTTCACATTTTCACCACAGTTAATAGAGATTTCACACGACACAATAAACGTGAAATATGATATTGCTATATTATTGTCGTACTTGCTATTATACATTAACACTAAAATTGTCAGGACTAATAGCATTATAGCAACAAAAACTAAAGGCTATCAAGTATACTTTATAACTATGAAGTATTTCCTTAAGTTAATAGACTTAATAAGTATCGTTCCCATTGGAAGAAATTCACACACTACTGTTACGTATAAATGATTGCGTTGTGCTTCAGACTTTAGTCTAGAACATTCCAGAAAGTCATTTGCAATTTATATAACTACATATAGTGGCATTCTTGGCATATCTCGCTTCAGAGTCACAAGAGAATCTATATATTCTATCTTTTCACCAACAGTAAACTTTAATGGTTAAATACTATGTTGTTTTACCAGTTCTTGTTTCCGATTGAACGTATTTTACCTGCAAGAAAGCACACAGGAAGCGTCTACCGACACTGACATGTCACCCACTCATACTATCTATAATTTTGCCAGGTCATCATAATTCTGCAACTTACAGCATTGTATCATCATACAGTATTAAAACACACAATACTGCTTTATTCATTCATGTATAGTTTCATCAAAGCAATAGTTCGTGAGGTGCTAGTTTCCAATATGCTTTTTATTTTTTTTTTACGTTGGAGTAGGCTACGTGCATGCTTTGCAAATAAATTTCACGGCTGTCTGCCCGACCGCTCTTTGTGAACAGTTTAGTATCTCTTGTAGTCTTTGACATTCTATGAAAGTCATGAGCTGGAAATATCGTTGTCGAACTTGACGTACCAAAAATGCGAAAGATTCTATTCTCGTTGATTTGACGCCGAATGACGCGGATGTTGTAGGAGCTAGCGACCGATAAAACTGCTTTGAGAGGGTCTGCATGCATAGCGAAATATGGTGATCATAACAGTCATGATCATGAGTTAATAAATACTCCAGTTTAAAATGCCATCCGTCTGCAGTTTATTCCCTCGTATTGTTCAGAGCTGCAATACCTCTTTCCAAATTCTTTGCCAGTCACCAATTTAAATTCTCTTATCTTCGCTCGCATGCGTTTCACCTTCGTTTCCACAACGAACTGTTTGAGCATCTCTAACAAATGTAGTCTATTCATTGCCTCGACCAAATCGAGAAAAAAATCGAGATTATTAGGTCCAAGAAGACTTTGTTGTTCAAATTGAGAGAAAATCTCCAATGCTGTGCGAAGTTGCTCCATTTTGCCAGCTGGAATATAATCTTTTGAGACATATTTAAGCCTGGTCAAATCATCAGACGTAAATTCGTCCGCAAATTTTACCATGAACGAACGGTATTCTTTGCGAGTATTCAACGAATAATGCACTTTCCTGCTCATTGTTAATTGTGCACTGTAACCGACTTTTGGCAAAATATAGAAATGGGCCGGGTGTTATGAAATACCACCGGCCACAAATTCAAATTTTATATTATTAATGTGTCACATCAAAGTACTTTGTGCCGTTAGTGGTTTGTTTGTTTTTATAGTCATAGTACATATTGTGACCCTATTGGGTCTCTGTAAAGAACGGAAACCGAAACGACCGAATCCGGAAACGACCGAAACCGGAAACGACCGAAACCGGAAATTTCCGCCTAATTTCCCGCCTAAAATTGCCTAAAATTCAGCCTGCGAGCAGGCTCACTGGCAAAAAGGTGAGCCTGCACGGAACCAATGAACCATGCGTTTTATTCATTCATCCCCTTTTCCGCACTGATAAACGCGAAACAATCAGCGTCGACTGGGATAATAAACAAAGACTGTCAACCATAGCTGTCAGCTGTGAAATTGACGCAGGGCGTGAAATGTACAACGAATGAAATGTATAAAACAAGTGTAACTCCAAAGATCGATAACATTTTTATATTTATCAACGTTTCGACTATATTTCAGTCATCATCAGGATAAAGAAATGTATATAACATTAATACGAAGCATTAACAAGCCGCACAATATATTAAATATAGGCTCCAGATAATACATTACGAGTTAATCAATACACATACAAATTAAAAGCCGAATAAAATACTACCATTGGCATTGATTGAATGTAATAATACTTGTACTACTTGTGATTGAAAGAACAAAGTTCTGAATATTTAAAGCTATAAAATGCGGTCAGATAAATTGGGCCTTTGAATGCGTTTAAATGAGCATGCATTTATTTTTTCGAAATCACGAGCGTGACATTTTAGTGGAAGTCAAATGATAAAGTGAATGCAATATCGTTTTTATTAAATTAAACAAAACCAGCATTGTTCAGGAAGTTAATAATATGTAGTAAGATTATTAAATAACTTACAAAATTGTCAATTGTCAGCAGTTAAATAGTATACAAGTAATACAACCTTACGACATTTGGACGATATTTATCTAAAATGATATGCCATGCGATCGAGTCATCGAGCATCAACAATATAATTATTCGTTATGCTGGAAATTAGGCGGGAATTTCCGGTTTCGGTCGTTTCCGGTTTCGGTCATTTCCGGATTCGGTCGTTTCGGTTTCCGTTCTTTACAGAGACCCTAACCCTTTAGGTTAACCAAAAATTCAAAGCAAACTTCCCAAACAGCTTGTCAATAAATTTGGAAATATTTCTTCAGAGATCTTGTTTGAATCATATGGGAGTTTTTTTCTCTGACGTTTTGAAATATACAGACAGAAATAAACAGACAGAAATACACAAACTAAAACAGCAGGGAACATTTTAACCGAGGGTTGCCGCTAAATCCAGCTTTAAACAACCATCCCCATAGGATTACATTTTTAATATGCGTCAAAAGAAATTATAAGGTCTCTAAAACATTTCAAGTCCATAAGTCAATTCCAAACTCCGTAAACATTCCCGAAAAGTCCTATAGTTTAAACAACTTTTAGCTGATACAACTTTGTAATCTCCTGAGAAGTGAGCGCTTTTTTAAACAATTTCAATTCGTCAATATATCCGTTGAAACTCCCTTCATTGTAATTTCGACCAATCACAACGTCGGTATGTGTGCTGACGATGTCACCATGACAACACTGGGAGTCGCTTAACACAAGGTGATTGTTGAGGTAGAAATTAATGGTTTCACCGTCGTATGTCATCGCCAAATGATACCAATGATGCGCACGGATCACAGCAATGTCATCCCAGGTTTTGTTGGCATGTGACGTCACGATCGTTGCACCAATTATTCTCTGTTCCTCAATCTCGCCTTTTTTAAGGAATATATCCCAACTTCCAGTAGTAACTGTATGGGTTTCGTTCGCGATCGATGCGTTGGTAGTAGTTACATTAAAATTGTTTATCAGCCCACCTTGTTGCCTTGTCACATATTGGCCAGTTTGAAACCATAAACTAATGGAGAACGTCGAGCCCCATTCGTAGCTGTTTAAAGAGGGAATACTGCGCATAAAATAACCAAGAAAATGTCATTGTAGAATAACCATTCACTTTTCTTAGCATATTTATACGCACATGAATCATTGGAAGATAGTTAAAACTTAAATTTTAAAGTTTAAATTTTTTAAGACCGCTCACCGCAAAGGGCGAACATCAAGTCATATTTTGAGGTCAACTCTTAGCTATTCAAAGTTATGGCAACTTGTGCATTAGAATTGAAGCATAGTAAAATGACCAGTGTTTGAAATTATGTATTGTCTTTGCCTGTAATTTGCGAAATATTCAGACTTTGTAATAAATTTCCGTTAAAGATTTTGCCAACCTTGTCATAATACCGTATTTACTCGATTGAACGCCGCCCCCGATTGAGCGCCGCCCCCGAATAAGCGCCGCATTTGAGATCAAATTATTTTAAAAAGCGCCGCCCCCGAATGAGCGCCGCACTGAAAAGTATAAAAACTTTCTGCCGTCAAACTGGGAATATTTGGTGACAAAAATATTTTAAAACTTGTTTGTTTTATTGTTAAAAGTTCTTGTTATATAACCCACAAATCGATTTTTATGCACAGAATACGAAACGAAAAAATGCCATCATCAATTTGCAACATGTTCAAAATTAAAATAAATGACAGATATGATTTAAGAAGTAACAATAACAACTATGATCTTGGAAAACCTGAAACAAATTTTATGAAAAAGAGCTTCAGTTATTCAGCTGCATCCCTTTGGAATGACTTACCAACTACAGCAAAAGAAAAAGGCATTAGCCTTAACAAATGTAAACGTATTCTTGACGGCACTTGATTCCTTTTGGTAACTTTGTAAATATTTAAATAGGATAGGATATTTTTAGATACAAATGTAGTGCATGCAATTATTAAGTTCGTTATGTTTTCTCTGTTTTTGTGTGTATATTTGTGTTATTATATTTATATAGCTTGTAAATACTGTAATAAACGGCCTCTTGAAAAACAGGTGCCTACGAGCCCTGAAGAGCTACCGTTTTAAAATATTTTTAAATAATAATAATAATAAAAGTTTTTTTAAAGAGCGCCGCCCCCGATTGAGCGCCGCCCCCGAATGAACGCCGCATCTAAAGCTCTGGAAATTTAAAGAGCGCCGCGGCGCTTAAACGAGTACATACGGTAATTAAACAAAAGCCCCGTTTACACACGCTCGATTTTTGGTACCGTACCACTTTTTTGGTTCTTGGGCTACCTAAATAGGTAGTACAAGAACCAAAAAATTGGTACGGGGGTACCAATTTTATCCGTGCATGCCGTTCCAAAAATTTAGCGTAGTGTAAACGGGGCTAAAGTCGACTCGTACGTTCACACTCGAGCTTTAAAAGCTTTCCCAAGCTACGAGACTATATAAAAAGAGACAAATATAAAAAATGCATTTTTGGGATACTTATATGGCAGAACGAACATAACCAATTGCCGTAATTATTCGGGCTGCTCTATTTTGTAATTTTTAAAGTTTGGTCTCGAAGACCCGTACCCACCTTATTTGGTAATTGGTATTGGCGAAATTCGCAGCCGCGTTAGAGATTCCCAGCTTCCAGAATTTCTGAAAAATGTTACCACTAAAGCCATTGTTTCCAAAACACACGTCACGATACGAGCGGTCAAACTTGTAGTAGGCTATGGTGTCATCGTTACATGGGTCAGGTTCTCTGCCTATATGGAACGATACGATTTTATAGATTAGAAACGCTACCTCTTTATCAAATTTTAAAACCTTACTAAAAAGACGCTGCAAAAAAGATTATGTTATATATAGATAAACATGGCTGCTCTTTAGTCTTTAGCACTCTCCTCCTTCGTTTATTATTTTCCTTTTCTTCATCTTTGTCTCTCTTTATCTCACGATTTTTCTGATTTTTTCGTTCAATTATTCTTCATATACCATTTGTTTGTCTATCTTTACAATTACGAGTATAACGATTATGTACGCCAGACCGTTTTTTAAAGAGATTGCAAAAATATGATGGTGCACATTGGCAACCAAAATTTTTATTGCTTCATCTGAAAGAGCATGAAAAAATAAGCCAGTTGGCAGTTTAATGCTCCATTCTATCTCATCTAGTTCCGAAGTTATACGCAAAAATGTGCAAAATATAAATTGCTGATTCAGCACAATGTGTGACGTCATTAGTTGGGTAAGTATGTTTATTGAATAGTAAACTGAAGCATAGCTAAGTTATTATTGGCTCAAATCAAATGAAATTTTGCATACAGATAGTACATGATGATACGCATGGGAAAATACTTCTAATTTTTTTGCCAAGGTAACAATGTCGTTCCCAGGTCCCTTGCGCCAATTTTATAAAAGCTTTTTTCATGGTATTGATAAGGTTAAAATAATATCAGAAGTATGTGTACCATACCTATGCATGCCGAAAGTTTACTTGCATGATAATAATTCGAAAATGGCATACACATAGATAAATGCAACTAGTTATTCAAAATCAGTTTAAGGGGCCTGGGAACGACTGTGTTGCCTTGACAACAAAATTAGAAGTATTTTCCCATGCGTCTCATCATGTACTATCTGTATGCAAAATTTCATTTGATTTGAGCCAATAATAACTCAGCTATGCTTTAGTTTACTATTCAATAAACATACTTACCCAGCTTATGACGTCACACGTTGTGCTGAATCAGCAATTTATATTTTGCACATTTTTGCGTATAACTTCGGAACTAGATGAGATAGAATAGAGCATTAAACGGCCAACCAGCTTATTTTTTTATGCTCTTTCAGATGGAAGCAATAAAAATTTTGGTTGCCAATGTCCTTTAAAAGATTTTATAAATCATTTGATAAAATCACTTGACATTGGATAAATTATGTTATACATTAATAGATCATTGAAATTTTTAATTGTAGGACCCCACTGAATAGCAGTTCGGTGATGTGTGTATCCTGGTTAAATATAAAAATAAATAAATAAATACAAAACGATTGGTTTCATGTAGGTACAGGGCAATATATGGTGTCAACTTCAAAATGAAACTACATTTCTTAATTCTATTTCCTTTGTGTGAAGAACTTTTAATTTTTGCCATACAAATGCATGCCTTTGCAATACAAATCCATACATCATACATTTTGACCGCAGTATATTAATGGTGTTAGATGTTACAAATCTGCAAACAAGTTGTAACAAAGTTGTTGTCAAGTCGATATCAGGATGTGTTCGCACTGCCTGTTCCCAGTTGTTGTGACAAGTCTGGAACAAGTTGTTATCATCTTGTTACAAGGTTGATGACGGTAACAGACTTGCTACAAGTTGTTCCAACCAGACTAATACAGGCTGTTCGTAACAAGTTGCCACGAGCTTGTTGTCATCAACTTGTTAACAACTTGTTTCGTGCAGACGATATCAGACTTGTTGGAACAACTTGTTGCATGCGAGTCTGTTGGCCTCGTCAACCTTCTCACAAGATGATAACAACTTGTTCCAGACTTGTCAACAACTGGGAACAAGCAGTGCGAACACATCTTGTTGACAAGTTGTGAGATTTTTAAATGACGACAATTGAATATAGTGTTATATGTTGAAACTGTATTGGCTGGCGTACTGCTGTTACATGTAGTAATTATAAAGGTTGTCCTCTAAATGTCAAAACCCCTCTAAGCGCAAGAGGCACAATTGCCGTGTGTATACAGCCAATTCAAAAAAGGTTGTCCTTTTGAAACTCTAAACCTTAAACTCTAAGTAGCACAAGTTTCAAGCTTAGTAGTTGAATATTGCAGCTATTTATGAATGAACTGTTCTCGTAAGGAGATTTATCGCTTTCTTTTCTTAACACTATGTCAGCAAGATATCTTGCAACGATTAGCTCTGTTTTCTGTGCGCGAACATTGCGCAATTGACCAAGTCAGACAGCAACTGGAATAATTATGGCAATGTGCGTCTTGCGCAACGCACATGCCGATTTATTAATTTTTTAAAACATTGAGATAATTATTAACATAACAAATTATAAACCGAAGTTAATTAAATTCAAAGTTCGCACAGAAAAGGTGGGGTAATAAATACGCCCACCATTTAGAAATTAATGTAATAACTAAACTAACTTACATATGTAATAATATTGCGTCAAGTAACGGGGAGGAGGGTGGGATATCAATTGACTTCAGCCAGAGAGTTGACCTTGCGCGACCAGATTGAAGAGTGGAATGAACTGATGCACATACCGTATTTACTCGATTGAGCGCCGCCCCCGAATGAGCGCCGCATTTGAGATCAAATTTTTTTAAAGAGCGCCGCCCCCGAATGAGCGCCGCACTAAGCAGTGTAATAATTTTCCACCGTCAAAATGGGGACATTTAGTGACAAAGACATTCAAAACTTGTTTATTTTATTGTTAAAAGTTCTTGATATAATTCACAAATAAAGATTTTTTAAGGAGCGCCGCCCCCGATTGAGCGCCGCCCTCGAATGAGCGCCGCATCTGAAGCTCTGAAAATTTAAAGAGCGCCGCGGCGCTCAAACGAGTAAATACGGTACTGCTGTAGATTATATCACCACTCCTATCCGCTTCCTGCGCATTACATTCATGTGACTACAAATTATCGGGGCTAATACCCACGTGTCCCATTACAATAGCTCCTTATCTCTAAAACTAGATGCAGGAAGCAATAAAACCTTTATTGGTATCCCAGTAATTCCTATTTACCATGTCTCTAAGAAATGGGCCCCATATATGATTTCTAAACTGATTAAATGATGCTCCTATTATGCTTTGCATGCTTAGAGTTTAAGGTTTTAGAGTTTAGGGTTTTCAAAGAACAATCTTTTTTGAATTAGCTGTATAAACAACCCTTCAGGCAAGATATTGATTATGAATTGGCAGAATCCCATGTTCGAAATACGGCAAAGAAACAAACAAGATTTCTATCGTGCTTTCGTCTAGCTTCGCCTCAATTTCATGTAAACAAACACTATAACGGAAACGAATTTCAGTCTTCATGCCCTGTTTCTTCATAGTGTCTTGTAAACGAAGCCTTATTTCAATATTTCCAGATAAAACGCATAACAATATTATATATAGCCAATTATCCAATTATACCTGTGATCCCTTTAAAACTGCCCCAACTGTAGCAGTGACTGACCGAGCGTGCGTCGACATGTCCGGCCAATGCCATAAGAAAGACAATAAAAATTACTGTAACTTTTGCCATGTTGAGAAAATGCGTGTGTTGTCAGTTGGCTTGTGACTGTTTTATATAAAGTCTTTGAAACAACCTGAAAGCGATTTTTTATACGAAAGGAAATGACGTAAGCAGCATCTTTATATAATAAAGAACTTTCAAAGCTCTTTATGTGCCCTAGTCTGTGAATAGCGGAATGTATATTGTGCTGTAATGCATGCAATTTTTGTAAATGCATTGCTTGTCGATCCTCAAGCTGCGCTACCCAGATCTAAATTCAGATTTCTACGCAGATTTATCCAGGTAGTTGAAGTGCACGTAACCTCAAATCTTTTTATCATCTCATTCGTAAGAACTTCCCAAATGATAATTAACAAATATAAAACATTTTCCGTGTTGATATACAGTTATATCATCACGAGTGGAATTGGGAAAACGAGAAATTGTATGGAAACACGACGCCCGAAGGGCGGAGTGTTTTCATACAATTTCGAGTTTTCCCAACTTCCACGAGTGTTGATATAACTATATATCAATACGGAAAAAATGTTTTATATTTTTTTTATAATATAGCAATGTCAAAAGCCCGAAGGATAAGAAAAATTTCCGTGTTTATAAGCGGCAGAAAATTTCCCGTGTTGACATTGAGTTATATCAACACGGCTCTTAGCCAATCAGCGTTCAGAATTTACAAATGCTATATTATAAAATAACTTATTTTGAACAACAACAATAACAACAATTGCAACAACAACAGCAACAACAACGATGACGGCAACAAAAACAGCAACAACAACAGCAACAACAACAGCCGTGATAACTTTTTAATCAATTTTTTGTAATTATTACAAAATGCCCTAATTACATTTTAAACTAACTGTTTTGGGTTTCGTAACCTCCTGGGGCGAGTTATTCAAAGCTGGGTTAGCTTAACCCTAGGTTAACCAAAAATTCAAAGCAAACTTCCCGAACAGCTTGTCAATAAACTTGGAAATATTTCTTTAGAGATCTTGTCTGAATCATATAGGAGTTTTCTTCTCTGACGTTTTGAAATATACACACAGAAATAAACAGACATAAATACATAAACTAAAACAGCAGGTTAAATTTTAACCGAGAGTTAGCACTAATCTAGCTTTAAACAACCGGCCCCATGGCATTGCATTTTTAATATGCGTCAAAAGAAAATTTAGGGTTTCTAAAACATTTCAAGTCCACATGTCAATTCCAAACTCCGTAAACATTCCCGAAAAGCCCTGTTTAATTAAACAACTTTTAGCTGGTACAACTTCGTAATCTCTTGAGCAGTGAGCGCTTTTTTAAACAATTTCATTTCGTCAATATATCCATCGAAAAGTACTTCATTGTAATTTCGACCAATCACAACGTCGGTATTTGTGCTGACGATGTCACCATGACAACACTGGGAGTCGCTTAACACAAGGTGATTGTTGAGGTAGAAATTAATGGTTTCACCGTCGTATGTCATCGCCAAATGATACCAATGATGCGCACGGATCATAGCAATATCATCCCAGGTTTTGTTGGCATGTGAAGTCACGATTGTTGCACCAAGTCTCTGTTTCCGAGTCTCGTCTTTTTTAACGAATATATCCCAACTTCCAGTAATAACTGTTTGGGTTTCGTTCGCGGTCGATGCGTTGATGGTAGTTACATTAAGATTGTTTATCAGTCCACCTTGTTGCTTTCTAAAGCCACTAGTTCGAAACCATAGACTTATGGAGAACGTTGAGCCCCATTCGTAGCCGTTTAAGGAGGGAACACTGCGTATAAAATAACCAAAATTATTTTTTATCAGTCAGAATGAAGCAATCTGATTGGCTGAGGAACCTTTCAGAGCGGGGCGGTTTTCTGCATCCGGCCCGCTACTGCCCGCTCTGGTTTTCGCTGCAAAAACCGAGGAGTGAAACAATTTTTGAACGAAAAAATCTGCCCAAAACGTTTGAAAATTGTAGCCTAAAGATAGTCAGAATACGAAAATAAATTGCATCAACCCTAAAGACTTCATGCTAAGCACGATGTACACCAGAATTGACAATATTTTGAGAGAAATCGACTGAAAGTCGGAAAGTTATTGGACATGTATAAAACTTACGTCGAGAAAACTATATATATTTTTTTAAATATAATGCTCATGTATTCCGCCACTTAAAAGCGAAAAAAAATATAGCTTAAACAGATATTGTAAAATAAATGTTTTACCATTTAAAAGAAGGTTTAACTGCAGCAGTGAAAAGAAGTCGCCAATATATTTTCTACCCATTTGTGTCAGGCATTTTTCATTGATATAAATATTGTAAACAAAGTAAAATG